AAATATATGTAATCGCTTTCCTCAGCGGCTGAGCTCAGAAGAGTTTCCTATACAGTGTTGGAGTAGGAATATATGTAATCGCTTTCCTCAGCGGCTGAGCTCAGAAGAGTTTCCTATACAGTGTTGGAGTAGGAATATATATGTAATCGCTTTCCTCAGCTGCTGAGCTCAGAAGAGTTTCCTATACAGTGTTGGAGTAGGAATATATGTAATCGCTTTCCTCAGCGGCTGAGCTCAGAAGAGTTTCCTATACAGTGTTGGAGTAGGAATATATGTAATCGCTTTCCTCAGCGGCTGAGCTCAGAAGAGTTTCCTATACAGTGTTGGAGTAGGAATATATGTAATCGCTTTCCTCAGCGGCTGAGCTCAGAAGAGTTTCCTATACAGTGTTGGAGTAGGAATATATGTAATCGCTTTCCTCAGCGGCTGAGCTCAGAAGAGTTTCCTATACAGTGTTGGAGTAGGAATATATGTTCCCTTTCCTCAGCTGAGCTCAGAAGAGTTTCCTATACAGTGTTGGAGTAGGAATATATGTTCGCATTCCTCAGCTGAGCTCAGAAGAGCTTCCTCACTAATCCACGAAGTCCGGCGCGAAAGTGTATATAAACTAATGAGAATCTCTCAAAATTTCCTCAAATTTTCATACCCACTTCGATCATATGCATATTCCACTACACCCTGCGAATGTAAAAAATACAAATTTTCTAAAAAAAATATTCAAAAATTAAATATGTTCTTCTCACCTGAACCTTGAGTGGACCATAGCAAGATGGGTTGTCAGGCCAGGATCGTTCAGGTCCTTATAGTACTCAAACAGTTGCGAGCACGTCAATTGACCTTACAAGAAACCAGAATTAATATAGTTTCGCAACCCTAGTGATATGAAAAACATATTCTCACATCACCGCGAATATCGCGTTTTACACCGAGTTTTACGTCATTTCGTGTAAAAAGGGTGGTGAAACTCCAGTTTGAAGAAAAACAATTAATGTGTTGAAAAAAGCTCCTGCCAGGGATCGAACCCGGGACATGGATAACCAAAATACTAATGAATAATACATCTTCCTATTACAGTTAAAATTCACCTATAAACTCTGAGACTTCTACTCACACACAATATCGCGGATCGGAAATACACTACTTATTAACTTAAATGACTTCAACTACTATCAACATCATATCTCATCGGAACAAGACTAGTGAATAGTTCACATAAGATCAATTACTATCAACACATCTCATCGGAACAAGACTAATACTATCAACACTAAGATCAACTACTATCAACACGGCTCACCGACTACTAATTTCTATCAATACCACACCATCATCGCATCCCAAGCCCACCTTTATAAGTCACAGTTTTCGCACTCAACGAACAGATAAACATTTCCGTCTTCTCGCGCGACCCCGCCGCCCTCCTCAAAAGGTAAAGTAGGTACTCCAGCGGAAGTTTCTCGCAGACCTCCGAGCTCAGCGTGCCTCTTGCTCGGCGCTTCCTTTCCCCTACAAACCAAGCTTTTTCATTTCGAATAAATTTTTTTCCGAAAATTTTTCAATTTTTTCCCATCGTTTCGATGAAATACCAAAAATATTTGAAAGTTCAGGAGCTCAGTTTAGTCAAGCACACGCGCAACGACAATCCACTTGTAAATGCTATAGTTGAAATGAGGTGTAATACGAAGTTTACCTTCATAACGCTTCCCTGTTCTGTTGAAAGTCGGCTTCAACTTGCTACTCTTCATAGCGCTAACGCCACCACCATGGGATGCTGTCGACGCATACTTCTCTTCATCCTACACAACACGAACATATGATGACCTTCCAAGATCCATCGCCCTGCTGGCCCAATGGATAAGGCGCCACCCTCCTAAGGTGGAGATTCCGGGTTCGATCCCCGGGTAGGGTATATTTCCATCAACACATTCTATCCATACCACTCCATCTACACATCTCACCTCAGTCACTATCCTTCCCTCCGTCTCGCTACCTCCTCCCAAATCCACCTCCCCTTTAGATCGCCCCACAAACACCTGACAACATCACCCACCCAACCATCTACTATACATGACTACATCAGGGCACTCAAAAAAGGAAAATAACAGACAGTATCGAATAACAATAAAAAGGCAAGAAATAACGTTCCCAATGAACAAGCCCCGATCCCTCCCAGACCGAATGAGCGATTATAATGGGGGAAAATATGCTCGACAATTGGCCGAAAATATGTTCCTAGCCATTTTGAAAG